AATCAGTTAAATGACGAAAAATTAGGTGTCTATTTACTTGTGACCACTCAGTGTATATATATAACTAATACAACATACATCACTAGGAGAATATTTCTCATACAAGTTATAATAAAGGACACTGACTAAAACAGCCCGAGTTGAAATGGTAATATACTTACTTATCTGTTCCATTGGTTCGCCGAGTTTTCACTTTGCTTGGGGGGTTAGAATCGACTCGCAATTGGCCACTACAGTTCCGGAATACATTAATAACGTTCCCAGTTGTAACATCGCATAGACCAATTACAACTGACATATTTTATATGTAACTAAATTTTAAAAATAAACCCAAGTAAAAAAAACTCCCACTTACCGAGCCTTGACAAAATAAGTATATACCAAGGTAGAATTATAGAATGAAAATATCTAATTTTATTATGTTGTAAAAATTAAGCAGTCATTAAAAAGTATCCAGCCATTATATTTTGATAATGCATAACAAAATTCTTATTTTATGAACACATAACTTATTTCTATTAAATATGCGAACTCAAATATCCAAGTGGTTGAATCTATATCTCTCAGTAAACTGTGAATGGCAGCCTTCAACAGTACATAGATGGTGGAGGACTGTTTGTTTGTAATTAGGTACAAAGCTACACAATGGGCTATCTGTGCTCTGCCCACCACGGGTATCGAAACCCGGATTCTAGCATTGTAAGTCCGCTGTGCTACTGGGGCGCATGGCGGAGGAGCTTTAATCATTAATATTTCGGGGGACTCGGAGACCACGTAGTTTGTGCTGTTGATCTATGCAGTAACTCACTGGTACACCAAAAATGTACACAGAAATACTGTTCACTGACAGAGTTTAGCACCATTAATTTATTGAACAATGAATACAACAGGAGTGTTATTTGTCAAAACAAGCTACTAGTTCGTTGAATATTCTAAAATTATTCCATAAAAAACTGTAAATGAAATAAATGTTCTTTAGTTTTAAATTAGACATTTCCAACTTAGAGGATACTATTTCTCCTTAATGTTTTTTCATGGATGCTAAAGTAAGCATACTGTGGATATATTTATATATATATATTAATTAGCCATGGAAAATATATTTTACAATTCTACCCTACTTCGTGACTGTTTGTGAATGAAAATTTTTGCATAGAAATAATACACCAATTGAAAACATCATCAGTTTGAGAAGTCTTTTATTAAAATATTTACACAAATTTAGTAAAAAAATGCACATCCATTTGCTATACAATTTCCACAAACTTTTGGAAGTTCAACCCCTTGCGGGGAACTACTGAACTGTACATCCTGTCGTTCTCTGTTATGAGCTTTTCATTATCTGGTCCAAATACCAATCTCCCCCCTTTTGTCACATAAGTAGGGGGAGTGCATATTTACAGATTTGAAAGACACGTAGATCCACGCGTTAATTAAGCAGTACACATCACATTTGGGCTACTAACATAGTCAGTTGCCTCTAGTTATAATCTCACTTCAGGACAATAAAGAATGAAAAAAAAATTGTATATGACAAATTTCAGTTTTGAAAAGTCAATAACAAGTAGTTCACATCCAAGAGAAACAGGAAGAAAAAATTGTGACCTCAAGTTCTTCATATTAAGTAACTTATTGATCTTAAATATAATATTGGTTCTTCCATAACATGTAGTAATTTCTTAGATGCATACAAAGATTCGCTATCATGTGCACATTACCATGAAGTGGTAGACACTTTTTATCAAAAATCATCAGACACTCAGCACTAAAAATGAAAAGTAATATCATTACATAACTCTTTTGTATAATAGGATTGAAATTATTCTAAAAAAAAAAAAATTACTGGATAGATCATAAGGAACACAGCATTTTTCACAACTGCTATGAAGTTTCACAGACTATGTCATCAAAATGAAAATCACTAGCATGATGTTTACTGTATTTAATAAGAGTTATATCATTTTCCACAATTATCAAACCTTCCAGACATATTTCTCTCTTTAATTAAAAATTATTTGTCAATAGATTTATTGTCATTTTCTCTCATAGCTAAATACTTTACAAAATGGAGCGACTAGTTTTACTACACATAGGTTTTATTACCTGAATTCATACTTTTTCAATATTAAAATCAGATTTATTACTTCTCTTTGCCTTTGTGAATTTCTGAAAAGTACCATGTAATTTTTAGGACAACAAATTTCACAATGCATAAATGTAGAAATCAAGGAAAAAAATATATTCTTTGCTCTATGGATGTGAAATGACAGCAAAATGATAAATTTGTGTAACTGTCATAAATCAAATATTGATCTCATTTTTATTCACATTTTATTCTCAAAAATAAATATTTTATCTTAAATTGGCAAGAAATGTAAAAAAATCACCCTTTGCCTTCCTTTAATCAAAAAATAATATTTAAGAAAGAATAAAACGTACACATAATCTACCACATAATCAATATGTAAAGTGTTATGTATGTTTTATAGTTTCTGAGGTTAGATATTAATAAATATAAAAGCAGCATAAAGAAACACAGCTTACGCAGTTCAAGAAACTAAATAAATTCCATACATCTAGACTAAATAGTTACTAAAAAATAACATGTTAAACACACAGCAATAAGATTTCTTACAAGTAAGAAAATTACATATACTTCAATTATACATCGCAGCCCACCTTTATTAAAAATAAAGTTTTCCAACTGAAATGTTTCTTTTTAATGTTCCATGCATAGTTATTTTAAGAAATATTTTCATTTCAACATGAACAATTCAGTAATCTTGTGGAAAAAACAATGATTATAAGGAACAAACTTGTGTTCTACCCTTGCAAATAATATCCTATCCAACTTGCAGTAATTTATCTCTCGCTTCCAAGAGAACATGTTTAGCAAAACCAAAAGATAACAGAAAAAAAAATGATTATTAAAATATTAGGAACTATAATCATGCTTCATCACTGCTTGATCAAATCAAACAAGTAAATAAAAAATAAGTTCTGTTCAACCACCAAGTGCATACAACATAACCTTATATCATATCCTTAATAGTTACTTTCAAATGAAAAATATTACTGCAAAAGCTACATTATTTGTAAACAAAAAAAAAATATCATCAATGGTGTTTTACTGTTTTAAAAACAATTTTTAGTGTATGTGTATATATATATATATATATATGTAACATCTACTATAAGTTACTGAAGGTTACAGAAAATTTGAAAATTGCAACAGAATGTTTCACCTCTAAAGTGAGCTTTTTCTGTAAGTTACTTACTCAATTGTATAAAAATATATATAAGTAACAGTAAAAGCTAATGTGTGAGATAAAGAATGTTACTTTTCAGAAAAAAAAATTATGAAAAACGTTTAGAACTAAGATTTGTAACTGTTGAAAATATTTTAAACTTAGCAAAAGTTAATGAAAATAATCATATGGAAGTTTCCTTAGGGCAAAAGTACTTGTACATGTTGAGCCAAAAAACTATGACTTAGGACATAAACATTATGTTCAATTTTTTTTTAAATGTACCTAATTCTTTTGTCTTAACAACTTTTAATAATTTTAAATTAGTTGGATAGAAATGCTTAATATTTAGTTCCAAGATGTAAAAAAAACATAGGCAGACACTATTATAATGACCACTTATAATAAATGGATATTTTTATTACACTGAAGAAAAATCATAATTTAATACTCCAACAATCAGATTATACTCTTATCATCACCAGCCTACTGTTATTCTGCTAAACATTATCTTTGTTTCTGATAAAGCCTCTTTCCTTTATGTAAAACAAATTTTTCAACAAAGTAAAGTAACAACCAAGTGAATGCATTAGTTAGAAAAAGGTTCTCAATGACATACTCTATATGTTTATACATGTATGTCACATTTTATTTTTGGATTCAGGCTACAGCATGTCCTGTGACATGTACCCCCAAACTCTCACTGTAATGCATAGTATAGGACTTTTGCATTATTAACACCTTTGAATAGTAATTTCCTTTCATAATATTTTGAAGCTAGTTGTTCTACTGATGGTATACATAAATTAAAATTTCATTATTTTAATATTTTAAACCTAGGAAGTGTCAATAGCTTAACCTAAAACTGAAATGTAGATTAACACTTAATTGCAATTAGTTAAAAACTAGCTTTCTAAGGTTAGAACTCTAATACAGCATACAACAATCACGTCAATAAATGTAAATTAAAATATACTGATCTTCAAACTCATTTGTTCTGTAGCTATTCTTTCTCAAAAACAAAAATAAGACTGAATGATAACAATTATATAGAAAATAAGTGTGAATATCTGAAAATTAATACTTTCAGGTAAAAACCAGTTGCACATTTCCCCCCTACATCATTAATTGCACATACTGACAGTCAGGCAAATACAAAATATTTAGAAGCAAAAGAATTAAAAGTAGTTTGATAACTGATTAGTAAGACAAAATGTAAGTCAGATCATTATGAAAATGTGGAGACTCAATTAATAGTGAAAGAAAATGTAACAGAAATAAACTGTCACATTCTTGTATTCTTGACCAAAGGAAGGCAAAAAGGGAGTTCTCACAAAATTACACAGTATATAATTAAGGCATTAAAACAGTATACTCTGCACTGCTTCATCTATTGCTGCATCAGATTCACTTGTTAATTCCATGTCAGAGGTTAGATTAACTTCATAGTTTGTGACACTTGGGTCTCTCTGTGAATTGAGGCCTTCTAGGTTGTACATGTGAGAAATAAAATCACCATCACCATCACTGTAATAGGAACGACTCTCTGATGATTGAAGTTCTAGAATACTTTTAATGGCACTCTGCACTTGAGCATTTAACTCATCACTTTCCTCTCTATCAGTATGGGATGGAATTTCATTAAACCCTATATGACTACTGCTCGTCCGCTGATCGTGATGCCTTAACTTCTCATATGTTAATTCCCCATCCATTGACACATCATCTATTTCGGAGGAAAGTCCATTATGAAGGTCTCTGTGATGATCCTCAAGGGCATCTAACCCCTCTATACCTGACAGGTCCAGCTCTGGCTCATGGTCACGACTGGTTAGAATACTTTCCAGACCTGATTCTGTTTGTGTCACATGCTTATTTCTAGAGTCAGAATAAGAAACAGGCCACACACAAGTTCCATTTACAGCTGAGAAATTATATTCAAGATTTAATTCCCTCTCTACGCCACTATATGATTTAATGATTGCTTTCTCTCGAGCTTCCTCTCTTCGGATCACGGGTGGTTCAAAATCAAAGTCTATATGACCAGGATCAGGTTCATGGTCTTCTTCTTCTTCTTCATCTAGTAGAGAAATATTGAGTTCTTTTCTAATTTTTGTCATTATATCATCTTCATGAGGATCTGAAGAATTTTCTCTTTTTCTACTGTTATTCTGTGATGACAATAACAGAGAACTCTGGTTTTGAAGAATGGGTGTGTTAGATTTAGTTACTTCCTTTATTTCATACTTTTCACTTTCTAAAACCCTTTCTTCTTTAAGTTGTTTATGACACTGAAAATGTTTGTTCATGCCACTGGTGTGTTTGTCAAAGCGTTCTTTTGAAGCCTGTAAACGATCTTCCATATTACACTTCAAACTTTCTGATGTAGAGGAAGTGCCAACCTGACACTCAAGAAACTCGACAATTTCTTGCTTTACTGTTGTATTAACCTCCTTTGGTGGTGGTGTAGAGGGCTCATCAACCTGAGAATTAGTAAATTCTTGCTTTACTGTTAAGCTAGTCTCATCAGGTAGTGCTTTGGAATGTAATTCAGGGACTTGAAGACTGAGATCTAGCCAAGTAAACAGAAACACTGTTTTTGAAATTTCATCATAACCCTCACACATCTTTTTAACAGAAGTTATGAATGAAATAAAAAATCAAAATACTAAAAAAATATGCAAGTAAAAAAACCTTAAAATGCATTGACATTCATGGATTTACAATAAACTTAACAGAATTACATTCACAGATGAAGTTATTGAAGAAGGGTATTTATTTAGTTAAAACACATGGTAATATAAATATACCTAAACTGAACTATTTTCAGTAAATCTTTACATTACATATACTATCTTTGACATTCTTATCATGACCAGGTGTGCAGAATTGCCAAAATCTTTAGGGATATGACCTTTAACCTTCACACTTTACTTGCTGCCTGCTAATTTCTGGAGGTGAGAGACAGACAGTTTGATTCATATTAAATAAAACAATCTCTGTTTTAAATTAATGTTAGGCATTTGTGATATATAATCCAAAAACACATTAATAAAAAAATAAATGGCCTTTATCTAGATCTTTCGTTTACCACACAGCTTACAGATGATGGAATTTTGTTTAAAATAGTTTCTCTAGTACAGAATATTAATAGTACCAACACAGATAATGTTATTGTGCTACAATGGTGTTGTATTTATTTGACTAATTTTATTTATACTTTAAACATATTAAAATAAAATAAGAAATTTCCACCCAGATCAAAATGTGTGTGTGTGTGTGTGTGT